TTCAGTATAAATTAGAACATGCCATAACCCTACTTTGAAGTTTTTACCTTAAAGGCTTCCCATTTTATTAAGCAAAGCCAAGCTATTTACTCTAGTTGATCCCTGCTTACTTCTTCAACATACAGAACTATTGACCAACTTTTAAACAATGCTTCATACAAGCTGTCCTTCTTGTAGTCGCTTGAACACACCAAATATTTTCTTCCTAGTAGGTATCCCCACTGTTTAAATTGATATTCTCCAAAATTTTCATGGCTGAAGACTTCTTCAATTTAAATATTACTGTACTGAAACATTTCCTCAAACAGCCTATCAAAAGTCAGATACATCCATGCTTTAAGACAGGACCATACTTTAATTTTCTACTTTTCATATGATATTTGCCTTGCTTATTTTTCATTAACCATGTGACTATTCTTGGGATAAGGCAGGAACTTGTCTGTTTTATTCACCAACATATTCGTAGTTCCTAGAACAATGGAAACACTAGACACTCAACTATTTTTTTAATTTAATGAATACTTACTCCCATCATCTTACTGACTAGCAAAGGACAAAGAAAGGTCAAAATAAGTCTCATTGGGTAAAATTATCAGACTTCATGATAAGCTTAATGTTATGTTTTCATGCCCATTCTCTTTAGAAATTACCTCATTGGTCTAGTCTATTTGTTTACACTGTAGGCCAATGTGGTCCCAAAGAACTTTCAGCAATGTTCAGTATAGTACCTATCGGCCACATGTGGCTAGTGGCTCTTGACCTGTAGATAGTGCAATTAAGGAGCATGAAGCCTTTAATTCTACTCAATTTTTAATTAATTTAAATTCAAATAGTTATTAATAGCTACCATATTGCATAGAGTAGCTGTAGTGTAAGAGCTCCTGCCTGGCAGTTGGTTTCTCTATCTTGGTTTCTCTTAGCATCCTGAGAACCAGCAAGTCAGATGCTCATTAAGATGGTTTGTAATTCCTAAGTCAAAGGTAGCAATGGAGGCCAGGACAGTGAGAATTCTTGACCTCACTAAAGAGGAGTAAGGACCCCAAGTTATGTGACTGTGTATTAGTCCATTTGGGCTTCTACAACAAAATACCTTAGGATGGTTCATTTACTAATAATAGAAACTTATTGTTCACAGTTCTGGATACTGGAAACTCCAAGACCAAGGAGACAGCACATTTAGTGTCTGGTGAGGAAGCTCTCTCTTTCTCTGGTTCAAAGATGGTGCCTGTAAGTGTTGAACCGGAAAACCCAAGCCTCTTTGATAAGATCACTGATCTCACAAGGATAGGACCTTCATGGCCTGATCGCCTCCTGCTATGGCTTGGAGATGAGATATCCCCCAAAGGCTCCTGTGTTAATGCAGGAAGTGAAATGACTAGATTATGAGAGCTGTAACATAATCAATGGATTGATCCAATTATTGGATTAATAGTTTGAATGGACTTAGTGAGTGGCAAGTGGAGGGAGGTAGGATGTGGATGAGGAAGTAAGTGGGTAGGTTAGGGTGACTTTGGTCTACAGACTTTGTCCCTGGCTCCTTCCCCTCTCTCACTTTCCTCCTGGTTGTCATGAGCTGAGCAGCTTTCCTCCACAATGGCCTTCTTCCATGATGTTCTGCCCTGCCTCACGCCAGAGCAGTGGAGTTGCCTGACCATGGACTAAGACTTCTGCAACCATGAGCACAAATAAACTCTTCTTTCCTCCAAGTTGTTCTTACCAGGAATGTCGGTCATAGCTATGAAAACCTGACCAACATCTCCCAGAGACCCTCCTTTTCCTAGCATCACCTGAAGACTTAGACTTTAACATACGAATTTTTGAGGACAGAGTCCTTTGAACCATGGTACTCTGTGGTAAAGAAGCCTCCTGCATCGTGCCTTTCTTTCAGTGTGCTGATGGATATGAGTGAAGAAGGGGTTTAAGTTGCTCACCTGCTATTCACTAGCTCTGCAGCAGCAGACAAATCCTGCAGCCACCTTTGTACCATGGTGCTCTGGCTTCCCCACCTATAAAATAGTGACATGAAAGAATGCAGTTTCAAACTCATTGGCTTTCATAGGAATCAAGTGAGGCCAAGAGTAGGAAAACCCAACTGTAAATTATGAAGTGCTCTGTAAGTACATGGTGCTGTCATTAGTCGCACGGATTGGTCCTGTTGGCAGATAAACATCAAGAGTCAGTTATCAAACATCACATCATCTAGACAGCCCCAGCCCTGGAAATGTTGGCATGTGCTCATTTTACTCTATGATGGAAAAAAGAATAAATAAATCATAAATGATTAATTTAGACTTCCCTCCATGCCTCCCGTTAACAGCTCAAAGACCCCACCACACAGCAGGCTCAGTGATGAACTGGTGTGGTAGAACCTTCAAGACGGCGGCTAACCCTCCTCCAAGTACAACCAGCTGTGAAAACAAATTTAATTCCACCAACACTGCAAAGGAGCAAAGCTTTTTTATAGGTTAGAGATATAATGTTCACCCCATTTGGAGGAATCCAAAGCAAATACCAATGATTTCTGGGGATGAGGATATTATGGATAATAGACAGATTATCTGCTAGTTTACCAAAGGTGAGGGAAGAGACATTTGTCATGGTTTTACTAGAAAATGAGACCGTATCAAAGGGAGGGAGGGTGAAAGGTCACCAGTTCTATTGGTGCGATTATTATCTTTGCATAGCTGGAGTGGCAAAAGAAATGATCCCAAACAGAGCAAAACAAAACAGACCTCACTGAAGCACTTCAAGATGAGCCCCAAGAAGCCATCCCACCAGACCTGCTGGCTTCATCTTAATTTATCATCCCAGGCCTTGTTGACAAGAGTCCATTGGCTTCTCCATCTCTCTGAGCTCTGGCATGTTTCACCACTAAATGCCACGTGGTGGGCATGGGGAGGATTAATTGGTAGGAACTGATGGTGGTAATAGCAATAGTAGTGTCACTGTGGAACACCTCCTGCATCTGTGGAATGACCTTCTATTGATATTCTTAATGTCACCTTCATGACTTGTCAGAGATCACCCGTGATACAAGTGAGGGCTGCCACCTTGGATGGAGTGGTGTCTACAGTTGTGGTGTTCTTCCCTCCTCTACAAAGGTTATGATAGCATCTGCTCCAATAAGAGATTAATGTGCTAATGCAGGAACAGAGAGGTAGGTTCTCCAAGTGCTATGCTGTGTATTAGTCCATTGGGGTGTCTATAAGAGTGCCTGACCCAGAGGGAACAGCTGACAATAATAACTAATGCTGTCACTGCCATTGAGGATCAGTTCTCTCATCTTTGAAACAGGGAAGACTAATCTTCATCAGGGTGGAGTAGGAAAGAATCAACCAATGCAAACAAAACCTTCAAGCAGTGTGCTCTATTATTCCTTGGCTTTGGAGAGGAGGATGGACATGAAGGTGTACTCAGAAGCAACCTACAGAGAGAGATGGGATGGGCACGGTGTTCTAGGGCTCAGGTGTGGAATCTACCAGTTTTCCTCTCTTTCTTTCTCTCTCTCTCTGTCATTTAATGTCTTAGCTAATCCACAGCTATCTTTACACAGGACAAAAGACAAGGGCATCCCCACATCAGATGTGGGGAGTGATGTGGGGTAGTGAAAGGAGCAGACACGTGAGCTACACAGCCCTGACTTCAAGCTCTGCCGTCTAAACTTAGCAGTGGACCAACCTCAGGCAGGTCACCTGGACTCTGTATGTGTAAAATGGTAGTAATGACTCCAATCTCAAAGCTCTTTTTAAAGCTTGTTGATGACTTGTTTCTACCCCCCTTCACCTCACCAAGCCCTGGTTACCCATGGCCAACTCTGCATTTCCAATTATTGGTTAAAAGGCCATGAGGCTAGACTTTTACATTTGGAAAAGAGAAGAAAAAGATTTGTTATGGGTTAAATATCAGGTGCCCCACAAAAGCTCATGTGTGAAAAGTGCAAGAAAGTTCAGGGGTGAAATGATTGGGTTACGAGAGCCTTAACCTCATCAGTGCATTAATCCCCTGATAGGGATTAACTAGGTGGTAACTGTAGGCAGGTAGGGTGTGGCTGGAGGCGGTGAGTTGGACACCACTCCATCCAAGGTGGCAGCCCTCACTTGTATCACGGGTGATCTCTGACAAGTCATGAAGGTGACATTAAGAATATCAATTGGGGGCATCCATTGGGGGTACACATTTTTGTCCCTGGATGGAGTTGTTTCTCTCTTTTTCTCTTTCTCTCTGCTGCCTGGTGGCCATGACCTGGGCTACTCTCTTCCACCACACTCTTCCACTATAATTTTCTGCCTCCTTAGGAAACAAAGCAATGGAGTTGGCCATCTATGGACTGAAATCTCTAAAACTATGGGGTGCAAATGAACTTTTCCTCCTCCATCATGGTTCTTTTTAGGTCCTTTGGTCCCAGCAATGGAAGAGCTGACTAAAACAATATTCATTCTGTGGTTAGCCTGTGTTTGAACTGCAGTACTGACTCAGTTCAGGTAGATTCTGAACTTCAGCACTGATTTCCTTTAGGTGGAATATAAATTTAAGTATTCAGTGAGGAAGAGTCAAAGGAGGAGGCATTAGAGGAAGGGGAGGTTTCATGCAGCTCCTGAAAGACCCTCTAATCATTTCAGTATCCTTCCCACTTCTCCTCCACCACCACCAAGCACCAGCAGCTCCCAAGCTCTTCAAAAATTTTAAAGAACACTGTGTTAAAGTACTCGGCAGTGTCCTTCACTCGGATGACGTAGAATGGTACCAACTCTCTCAGCCTTATCTGTGTGAGCTGCTCAAGACACGGACGCCGTGCCCCGCAGCACGCACAGAGATTAGATCAATGGCCAATTTGTCCTGGACTTTAAAAACAGGAAAAAGTTCATCACATATGGATCCTTGTCTCACAAAATCTACTTGAGTCTAATAGGGAAAGGGAAGGCTAGTCTCCTGGAGTTTGGAGGAAGAAGGTGGCGTAACCGTGGAAACTACCACATTCCAGGTCCCCATTTCTGGGTCATAGACGGCATTGTCTTGCTGTGTCTTCCTATGGTGAAGAGCCATGGAAGGTGAATGACCAGTCTCGTCATTTGGAACCTGTGAGTGAAATAGACACCCTTTTCTATTCTGTGGATGAGTCTGTCTTCCTGAGAGTGTGTCTCTACCAGAACCTGCCTTCACACATCGCCCCCCCATGACCAGAATCGGCACAGGGGTCTGCCTGCCACCACCACGGATCTTGGAGGCCAGGCACTGCGTGTCTCACATTCATGATCATATTTCCAATCCCAAGCACATTTCCTCCTTTACCAAGTGCTCAACATTTCCAATGGCACACTCACAAAAAGTAAATTGAGACAATGAAGCTTGACATTAACCCAAGCCCTTGCAACTCGGGACTTGGATGGTTCTCCTGAGACCGAAATCAGTTTGCAAACACCCCCTTGAGCTCTGCATTTTAAATCTCTCACCACCCAGAGACAGTCAGAGTATCTGAGTACACATGTAGGGGCACTGCTGGGATGAGATCAAATGCTTCCTGCCAGAGTGAGGTCTCAGCAGCCCTTGGAGGGTCTCAGTGACCCCTAGAGCTGGTGTGAGAGAGGACCAGCAGCCAGATGGCCTCACATTTCCACATTCCTTTAGCTTGTTTTCTTACTGTGGCAGACACCCAAGAGCATCCCAAATCCTCAGGAGAGATGGGATTTCAGGAAAATCCTTGTTACTTTGCAAACAGGAGATGTGAACACTTGAGCCTGATAAAGAAAGAGGAGACTGAAAACATCTACCACAGGTTTTCTATCAGCAACAATATCAGAAAAATACCCAAATAGATATTGTTTTGTTTTGATTTTTTTTTCCAACACTGAATTCCACCTGGGGACAAAAGTGCCACACATATCTACCACTCAGGATTAAGACAGGTCAGAGATCACGGACTTGTGGCCACACAAACAGATTATCCTGTTTCCTGAAACATCCTTTATATTGCAGCTGCCTCCTAGGAGGACCATGAATCATGTTGTTCTTCTCTTGTGTTTGATCCTAGACCACATAAACAGGCAATGTTGAATGGCAAAGAAAACATCTCCGACAAGTGGCTTCAATAGAGTTGGAACTGCTCACCTTGTACAAGCCATCTGCTAACTGGGCAGCCAGGTTGGATGCTAGACAGGAGACAGCCCCAGTGTGGAGATGTCTGGGTGGACGACTGTCAGCAGGACTTCTGCCAAACATGAGGGTCACTCTTCCCTCACATGTGACAAGGACTTCATTTCATCCAAAGAGGCACCCTGGTGGGGGGGCAGTGATAATAGCTGCTTTTCACAAACTATAGATGAGAAAAACGTGACCAAGTCCACTTACTAAGGGACAAAGAGTGCATTCCAAACCATGTCTGCCTAATTCATTGAAAATCCCAGCACTGATTTGTAATTAGCAATGCAATGATGAACAACTATTGAATAAAAGAATGAATGACAGTTATCTTATTTTATTTCATCTGTATTTTGAACTAATGAAACTGAAATGGAAAGAAATGGAAGAATTTGCTAAGTTTTTTCAAGTCCCCCAAATCATGGAATTTTGATCTTTTATCTCTTGTGAAGCGATTGAAAAATAAGAACACTGTATTGTTAAGATCTATTATGCAAATAGGATATCTATAAGAAATTCTAGTGGGTTACCATTTGGGATGAATTGGTGGGTGTATAAAAATTCTTGAAACGTCTGTAAATCACTCCCCTGGAAACTATAGGCCACACTGGTGCCTTTAGACAGGTCATTGACAAAAGGTAGAAGATAGAGATTGAGGAGCAGAGACAAATACCATTAATAAGTAGCTTACTAAAGTGAGCAGAACATTTAGTTTGGAAGACTGTGGTGATACATTTGGCAAAATTGCAATAACAAGGGACACCTTAAAAATATGTGAAATCTTTCTTCAAATGCTTCTTATAAAAATTTGCAATAATAAACATAGCTCAGATATAAAGATCTGAGCTCAGGGTAGGTCTGCTGAAGTTTACCACAATTCAACTCTGCCAAGTACTAGGTGTGGATTTAAGAAACAGCTCAGCAGGCTCCAAGGAGAAGGGATACTAATCACACCTTCTGTACCTAGCCTTGTGAGGATTGAGGGAGCTAACACATGCAAAGCACATACACAATACCTACTGTATACTTAAACAAATATTTGAATAATAGAATGAAGCTACTAAATAAAAGCAAACTTTTAAGAAATGACACAATTTATACCACAATATAAGATGGTCCTCTTTCCTCTTATCAATACCATCACAATTGTGAGGAGACAACTTCTGGTGGTGAAATTAGAAATATGTCATGATACCTTCTTTTGTCCGGTTCCCCTATTAATAATCTAAGGCTTGCTTTGCTTAGAACATCTTTGTTAACCAATGTAACCAGCAAATCAAGAACTATCTAATCCTATGCATATCAGTTATAATGTTCCAAATCAGCTCTGTGATATTTGTAGAGGGAGATAAATAAGACTCCAGAAAGACAGAGAGGATGTTTAATGGGAAAGCACTGAATGAAGAATCTGAATATCCCTGGTCCAAGTCACACTGCCTCTCTGAGTCTCAGACTCTGAGATGCTTAAACAAGGGCATGGGCAAAGTCATATCTGTGTCCTCCTCCATCACTCAAATGGAAGTTATTTCCATTTTGGCATTGCCTTGGTAATAGCATACGAGTATTAGAAACAATTATTATAAATAATTTGAGATCTTCTCCTTCCTGAAGCACTGCTCCAGTCATTAAATCCAATTACCTCATTATCTAAATTCACATGAATTATAACCCTGAAAGGCATGTGCAAGAATGGCCCGAGAGAAACCAACGTGTCACCTCATGCAGTCATAAAATAATCAAAAGAGTTGAGGCCATATGGTAAAAGTCCAAGGCTGGCTGCCTCCTTCCCCTCGTCTCTCCTTGGACTTCCATTTCTGTCCCACATTTTGAAGTATTTATTTACCTTACATTTAGATGAGGCCGTGCGGTCCCTGAAGGGGACAAGCAGAGACTCGGGTCTGAAGAGGGACTCGGGAGAAAACCGTATTTCATGCCCATTGGCTTGGGGAAGCTATTGAGCTCTCTGCTGGGAAGTTTCTTGCTGAGTATAAACAGAGAGTTAGAGGGTGGCCAGGCATCTGACTTCCCATGTGCCCTGGGTGCGTAGCTGAAGCTCTCAGCACCTCCATCTCACCATCTGCAGGATAGATCATCAGAATGTAACAGACCATTTATTCTGATGACCTTGTTTTACTGATGTAGAAATTGAGGCCCTGAAAGTAAAGCCATGTTCCCAAGGTCACAGAATGTGTTACAGTTCCCAATCAGAGACCACCTTCTCCACCATCCCTTCCCCTCTCCTAAGTCAAGCATGAGTTTGTGACAAGAAAGAATTTTGATAATCGTAAGGAACAGAGCGCTATTCAGTCACTGAGCCATACTTTAAGCATGTGCTGAACTTAATTTGCAGGGCTGCAGCAAGATTCTGGGCTTCAGTTCCCAGCAGACCTTAGCCGAGTCCTCACTGGTATTCGGTAGCTGCAGGTTTCTGTAGCCCATCCTTTAGTTCCTTCTGTGTGGAACAAATATGATAATATCTTCTTAAAATGAAACGTGGTAACATACACCAAGGAGTGAAGCACAGGGCTGAACCTGTGTTGGGGACTCTGAAAAATTCTCTTCTACTCCTAGATTCCCCTGCCTCAGAGGCTGTGGTAGTCACACCTCTAAGTCCCCAACAGTTCAATGTTTTGTAAAAAACACTCAGACACGTTCCACACGACTGCTGCCTTTCAGATGCTTTTCCTGGATAAATCGTAGAATTGCCACTAAAAGCATTGTGTTGGAAAGAAAAAAAAAATGAAAAGAGAGTCCTCAGATATAATGGAGAATCTTCTAGATAGAATGCCCATGTACACCCATGGCAGCACCCCTCTCCCTGTAACCCCACAAAGTAAAGCTTCTAAACAGAAGAGTAAATTATTTTTAAAGGCACAAATCTATAAGGAAAAAAAAAGAGTAGAGAGCACAGCAACAGTTTGGGAAACGGGAAAGCAGATGTCCAGGTGGCCGTAACTGACTTAGCAGACCCATGCCAACAGTCCCTACACTGGCAGCGTGGAAAGCTGAGAAGCAACTTGATTTACTCCACACAGCGCCAGGCTCAGCAACTGGCTGCACCATGTACCTCTGAGGATGCCACAGCCCAGGGGAGGACAATACTCAAGAGAAGCAGTTGAAGCACTGTTCCAATCAATCAGGTCCCTAGAGACTTCTTCATACAGCATTGCCCTTGCTCAAGTACAGCGGGGGCTAACTCCTTGGGAAAGGTAAAACCATAGTTCTCTGGACAGATGGGTGCCACGCCCCGGCTATGCTTGACCACGGGCGTGACCTGGTGGTCACATGGAGGAAGAGTGGAAGTCTGAACACTCCCCATGGAGACCTTGCCACTTCCCTGCCTTTAACCAGCCTTCAGAGTGGCCCCTGCCAGCAGCCAGGCAGGGCTTCTAGAATAGAGAGTCAGAAACCAAACCGAGGATGAAGAATAAAGATAGAAGAAAGAAATGGAAGAGGAGGAAGAAACACTGATGCACAGTGCTGTTCCTGGTATCGTCCAAGTGATAAGAGGATGGATGTGCTCTACAAAACAAGAATGGAATGCTATCAAAAAGGAACTCTGAAAAAGGAACTCCTAGATCCATGAGAACTGTGAAAGAAAATGCACAAGTATAATGAAATAAGAGAGGATAGGAGAAAACACAACAAAGGCTTTCACAGATTAAACTGGTTAAACCTCATAAAAAGCAGAAGAAAATAGTAGAGGTGGAAAATGAATAAAACACACACACACACACGCACACATGCACACACGCACGCATGCACACCACTGTGACACATCCAATTGATTCAACATCCAGCTTTTAAGAATTCCAATCACAGAAAGCAGAAAAATTGAAGATAAAGAATTCATCAAAGAAATTATAAAATGTAGTTTTCAATCAGAAGTACATGAAAATTTCTGCTTAAAGGGCTCAGTATAGTGCATCGAATAGACCTATACCAAGACACACCATCAAAGTTTCAGAGCACTGAAAAAAATCAGGAAAAAATTTGCATTCAGAAATAAAATAATATTGCACTTCTCACAATCAATTCATGAAGTTAGTCGGCAATGGAGAAAATGACCTGCCTCCGTATGCAGACACCCAGGCAAAGGCAATGGACCAATTTCACATGAAAACAGAATGAAGATATGTTCAGAGATAAGGTGTTAAAGTTTCTGGGCATTCATCCTTTCTCAGAAGTCAGTGGAAGAATCCCTTCTGGGAATTCCAGGAAAGAACAATGGGTACCAGGATCCAAGTAGAAGATGAAACACAGGAAAGAGGCAAAGCCAGTCCCCAGAATGAAGGGAGCTGGAGGACGTCCCCTGGGGGTAATAGAGGTGCACTGGCCCAGGGAGCCACCTGTGGAGTGGGGAGAGGGCAAAAGGGATTTCTCTAAGAAGAGGAACTGTTTAATTGTCTAAGGTAGTTGTTTGTGTTCAGAGGAGACATAAACAACTGGGGAAGAAGATAGAGTTGATCAATCATAACTGCATGAAAAATAAGCCAACAAAACAAATTATTGACTTCATGGGTAATACCTTGCAGGAAAGTAAATATCAACATATTTTTTTATATATCACCTAAAATAGCATTTACACATTAATGATAATGTCTTACTAAGTATCAACCCAAACAGAATTGTCACGTAAGTATAGGGAAAGGCTGGAGCAACAGGAAGTAGGAAGGAGAATGGTAGAGATAAAGACAGGTATTTTTCAATAGATGAGTGGATAAAGAAAATGTAGCATATGTATTCAATTAAATATTACTCGGCTTTAAAGAATAATGAAATTGTGGCACTTGACAGTAAATGGATGGAGTTGGGGAATATCATGCTAAGGGAAAAAAGCCAACCCCCCCAAAACCAAAGGCTGAATGTTTTCTCTAATATGCGGATGCTAATTTACAATAAGGTGAGGCACTAGAGAAAAATAGTGTTACCTTAGATTAGGTAGAGGGAGGTGAAGGGAGGGGAGGGGAGGGGATGTAGAGGTAGAAAAGATAGTAGAATAAAACAGACAGTATTACTATATGTATATATATGACTGCATGACCAATATGATTCTTCAACATGTGCATTCAGAAAAACAAGAAATTGTGTCCCATCTATGTCTGATATGTCAAAGTGCATAAATGCATTCTGCTGTCATGTATAACTAATTAAAAGAAACAAAAAAAATTTAAAAGACAGAAAGAGTAGCAGTGATAGTGAATAAAAAAAAAAAAAACTAAGCCCCAACTTCTATACAGGGAAGTCAATAAAAAGAATCTCAAACAGAAAATTTTAGAAGTATTATTTTCCCATGTGAAAATATTGAGGAAAATACCAAAGTCAGCTCA